GGCACCGCATGCTATTGCATTGCTTGCACTGCTGTAACACATCAGCTCTGTCAATGATCCACAGAGAGCTGGCTAAGTGTGTGCTAGCTCCTGTTTCTGTTCCCCAGCTAAAAATACAGGCACAGCTCCCTAACACATTCCCTTTCCCCTACAACTGCTACTATGGCTGCAGGGAGGCTTTGGTGAGCTGTGAATGGGAGAAGTGTCCACAAGTAAATCTCTGTACTAAAATATGTTCCACAATACAAGAAGTCTGAGAACTCCCTGCTATTTTATGGCTCCGATCTTTCAAAGCCTTATACATGTACTTAATTATATAGGCTTAATTATAACTATGTACTTATTATATGAGTAATTCATTTGACTCCAGTTGCCCTGGGTGGATAAAGTTATGAATATGCTTAGATTTTGCATGACTGGGGCCTAAGGTTTTAGTCCAGATTCTTAATTTTATTTCCCCCTCAAATTCCTATATGATAAAATCTCTAACAAAGCCCTCAGTTCCATCCCTGTATTTTATTCTTCTTCAGTAGCTGGTGCTGTCCTTGGATCCTATAATTCAAATACTAGCCTTTTTGTACATGGCTGCTCACCTATTATCATCTATAGTAGAATCTGGCAGTCAATCCCATCATTATTAATTCATTAACATTAACAAATAAAATTTAGGGCTGGCTAGATAAAAGTTTATTAGAAAGAAGGGATAGGAGTGATGTGAATTATTGCACTAATTGGCTGAAGTGCAACAATACATCTGTTGTACATAGACTGCTTCAGGACAGCAAAAATATATATGGAAACTATAATTCCACTAGGGCAACAGCTATCAGATAAAGTGTTTAGTTCTATAGCAGTCATCTGGCTTCAGTGAAATAACTCATTCTAACAGAACAGTGGTTGTCAACATTTTTAGACACAAAGGACCCTTTGTTAGACTCAAGGCACCCCTTGGAAAATGCTAACTCTTAGTTTTCCCTTGTTTTTTGACCACAGAAAAATCATAGAGCAATTTTTCTGTTGCAAAGAACTCAGAAAGACCACAGCAGGGCAAAATGGTTTTAACAGCTTGGATTCCTATTTGAAATGTCTGGGTTTATCTTGTGAATCATGTTGGCACACCTGACAGTTCTAACATTGTGTGACACCCTACGGCACCCTTGAAAGGATCTCAAGGCACCCCTGGGTGCCCGATTACCCTAGCTGAGAATCACTGTAATACAACATGGTCAAAAAAACTCAATCTATCTGACCTTGGAAATATGCCTCCACCTCCATGTAGCAGCAGGACAGTGTTATTCTCTGAAAATGTTCTATTCCACTCATATGATCTCTTTGTTTTATGCATAATATGAAAGAGCAATAGAATCTATGCCGTCCAAAGTAGGTCTCTCTAATAAAACAAATGAAGGCCTGGATCTGCGTAAGAATTTAGGTACCAAACTACCTTTGAAAAAGTGCCTAATGTTACCCATTTCAGTAAACCCTCCCTGTTCAGCAAGGCATGTCCTACTGATTTCCATGGGATTTAAACACATTTGAGGTGTCAAGCTGAACTGGAGTCTAGCTCTTCAGCTTGCACCAATATAATAAAAAAAGAATGCGGCACCAAATTCCTGTTAGCTGAGTGCTAAGCAAGTAGCATTCTTTGGTCTGAAAGGGGCAGAACACAGGGCAGGGTGGCACCTTAGAGAATAGTTGGCTCAGAGATTCATGAGTTTTCATCAGCAGGAAGTTAGCATACTATTTTGTGCATTGACATTTTGGGGAAAGGACAAAGATGAAAGTACAGTCAGAACAGAAGCTGAGAGAAATCTACCCCTTCTCACTCAGCCCACCTGCTCTGTGTCTTGAATCAGTTTGACTGCCATAATTAAGACCGTACAGCACCGAGAACTGTGTGCTAATACAGCCATAAGGAGCAAGCAGGAGAAACTTGTGCTTCACATATTACTAACAAAAATGTGATGTATGCTGCAGTTCTTTATGGTGAAAGACACAGGAAGACCCACCTTGACTTCCAGATCCCAAAGTGTGTCTGTAGTGTGGACCATGCAAGTGTGGTGAGCCTGACTGATATTTAAGTGACATAAGACAAACTTTATAGGTAAAGTAAGGAGTAAAGGGAATTACACCTGCTTAGGTTATCCCTCTTCTTACAGATGACACTGTAGGAAGACGGAGGAAACGACAGGTACTAACCTAGCAAAGAAACACATAAGGACACTACTGGCTGGAGTGATGGGCTGTTAAAGCTATAACAAACCCACCACTGGGATGAATACAAAGAGCAACTGGGTAAAATGTTACCTCCTAAATTCTATGACCTGGGACTCGATGATGCAATGGCTGGTCCTTCTTGGCTTTTACATTTATGAATGTGTGTGTTTATATGTGGAAGGAGGACAAGACTGACAGATATTTAGACAGATATACACATGTCCCTCTTCCCACACCCCTATGTAAAGCTAAAGGCTTTAAGTAGCCCCTCTATGAGACAATGAGTGTTGGAAACACTGGAATTGGAAACTTGCTGTTTATATCAAAGCCATAATGGTGTAACCTTCTCTACCAATATGTAATGTCTCTATTCTGATGGGGCTGCCTCCAGGTGGCCTGATTAGTATTTCTGTCTCTCTGCCCATTCTGTTATTGACCTCTTTGTTAAGCTGTATGAACTCTCACCAACTAGAGAACTGATTTTGTGAAAGGATCGTGGCTTTGATTCAGAACTAGCTGAGACCACAGACTCATTTCCCATAAGTCACCACACAGGAGTCACAAGGTAACCTTCAGTTTACCGGCATTTGCTTGCAATGATCTGCAAAGCTCAGTCATTGATTCAGCATTTGAGGAGTGGCAAACCCATGTCAATAGACACTTATATTGCACCTTCATGTTTTCTCTGTGCCTGTGTGTATAGGTACAACCCAATTTCAATTAACAATCCTAGGGGCTTTCTTCACATGGCAATATATTACTTCTGATTATTTCTTCGTCATAGGTATAGACAAACAACGTGCAACATTTTCTTTGGAGGAAATCCTGTTCTTTGGAAAAAGTTACTTGCAGCCACTACCACTGTCATTTCCACTCTGTGGTACCCATTTGTTCAATGCAGATGAGTCCCAGTCCCATTAAGTAGCCAGCTGAGGCAACAGCACCTCCTTTGAGCACCCAGCTTGTCCCGTGTCTATTCCTTACTCCAGACTAAATACACCGCTGAGCAAAATCTGCCTTAAATTATTGTGGAGCAAATATGTTGCATGTCCATACTCTAACATGAATTTGCCCTGTGCTAAATTCAAGAGGGACCAGGCCTTTAACCTTTTTTTCCATGAGGAATTTGATGGAAGGCCTTGCATCATCAAGCTTTATATGAATGATCAACTGATACTGCCGTTATTGGGGGAACTCTTCCCTCCTCTTGCTCGTACTGAACACAGTAATTTGACATTCTGTTTTGTCAGGAAAAAAATTACCAGTTATTTCCAAATAGAACAGCAGCAACACATCTGAATTGGGATGTTTCAGATGCAAATATCCTGTGGGATGTTTTGAAACATAGGGCTTTGTTAGATCTCATTGTGGCTTCTAACATACTATGGATGCATTCATTATATTATGGAAATGGGTACTAGACATTATGGTAGAATTTAACCTCATGCTGAAACAAATCCTTTGCTCTGTTGAATTTACAATGACAGAAGGATTTTTTTTTAATTAGTTATAAAGTTACTGTGATAGCAAAGATGGAAGTAAAACTGAATACAATAGCTCCCAGATTAAAAAGCCCACATACACAGTAGGCATCATTTTGTTCACAAAAACAGCTATCACCTGGGAAGTCTGAAGGGCTTTCTGTTCTGTAGTCAGTGCTTGAGAATTCATAGAATTTTTAATGAGGAAACAGAGAGGATTGGTTAAAATGAATGAACTGATATGCAGGTTGAGAAAGAAATTACACATGTTCAGAAAAATTGAAGTTGCATTGAAGATGACAAGTATGTTATTAACAGAACACAGAACAGCAAAAAGAAAAAATGAATATTTTGTTCCCTTTCTTATTACCAACTGTACCTCTTTAATTCCCAGATCTCACTGTTACCTTAAAATGCTGCCACCACATTGCTCTATGGGTAACACTGTTTTCAGTGATCTTATAATTATTGTGGATGGTACATAGTCCACAGTACTGGGGTTGTTTTGGTTTCATTTCATACTGGCAGTATGCACATAAACATGGTATAGTTTTACAAAACAACTAATGAAAACAATGTATCTCTATGATTTCCCCCCTACATAAGTTATTGTGCATATGAGAAATATTTCCTTATGCAATCTCCAAAAACTTCTCTTTCACTTGCTTGAATGGGATAGCTTTCATCTTTCTCAGAGGCCATCCCCTCCAAAACCTTTATCCTTCAATAATAGTAGCTCTCTACTGTAATTGTTAGCTTCTCTCTATCCTTTAATATTGTACTGACATCTTAAGCACTACTCCACTTCATTATGGATTAACGACCTGGAACACTGTAGGTTTTAAATCAAAGTCATATTGAGTTATAGTTAAAAACAATCCCAGCTTGAGAACCCATCTACCAAGTTTCAGCCCAAGGCACATTCTTATGGTCAAGTCAGAAAATTGGGTTTACATTAAAAACATTAACTATCCTGTTCCCAGCTCTTCTACAATTATAAAACTCTTTAACGATGAAGCATGTAATCTAAATTATTGTATAAAATTGTGAAATCAGTCTAAAGCCCTTTATTATCAATTGCTTTGTGCCATGTTATTTTGTATCTTAACTGCTGATTTCTTGGCTACTGTTCCGTTAATGGCCATGGTCACATATAATTTGTGCCTGCCGTGGCCATACTTCAAACTTTTGTTACAACAAATACAAACTTCCAGATATAATCATGAAACCTCACAGTAGCTGAAATCAATGTTCAACAAGGGTAATAAAATTGTCATGTTAAATATCAATAAACAGAGATAGGATTAAATGATCTTTATTTTAATGAAAACAGTCACACATTCATGTTTCTATTGATTCCAGAATAAGACTTTTCACTAGATATTATCTAATTAGGATGAGATCAGTACAGTCCTTATTTGCAAGAATGTTGTTTCGCTGACTTTTCTTTTGGTCAGAAGAAAAATAATGTATTGTACCCTCACAAAAATCATGTATGATGATGACAAAGATGTGCCAATAGGACATGAAGTCTTTGGTTGACCGTTCTGTGATCAGTCGGTTTCAAAAGCCACTTAGCTGTCTTCATAAAGGACTTCATCTATTTGGACATCATTTTCTGACACTGGTACTGACTCACAGATCTGCTCCTTGAAAGCTAAGGCAATGGTGTAAGGTTTCCCTCTGGGGTGTTTCATACATCGTTCAAGGTAGGTGTCATAGTACCCCTTGCCTCTTCCCAGTCTGTTGCCATTTTTGTCAAACCCAAGGCCTGGCATGAGGATGAGGTCAAGACCCCCTGTAGAAAAAGAATACATCAGATGAAATGAACTATGCAAACCCATGCTAGAGATTTCCTTATTGTCTGAACAGCACCACAAACACTAAGTTAAAACTGTAGTTCACTTTTTTGCTAAATGCCTCCTTTTTCTGGAACAAATGAAAAATACCTTGAACAGTAAATCCAACATTTACATTTTGATCTTACCAAATGCATACTAGATCAGCTGCAGAATAATTAGAACTTGAAAAAGCCAGAAGAGAAAAACACCTGCCTTTAAACAAAGAAATGTGCTTTGTCATCTGAAGTCATCCCTCCCTTCCAGTAGTAATGCTTATGAATGTAAACCTAGGCTAAAATTGAAGTCAGAGAAATGAAAATGAACTAAGTGGAAGAAAAATCAGAAAAAGCAAAGCAATCCTCACTAACTGACACAGAAAAGGGGAGCACACTAAAAATGATGAGAAGTTCTATAAATGGAGGAACCCTTTCTTAATTGCTGTGAAATTAGCTGAATCTCCCCCTTCCCATAGACAAGAGAAGTGGTATTCTCTGAAGATGCACCAACTATGGTGTATTTACTCCCTTATGTTGAGAACATACTATCTACACTGGCTGACTGGTTGGATTTGAGGTAATCCCACAGTTGTTGGGCTGGGGGAAAGAACAGCACTATTAACAGTCTTGTTTGCACCATATCAACTCCTCTCATAACAGCCCATGCCCAAGTCCATGGAAGTCTCTTTGTGTAACTTTAGCTCCTGAGCTCTGACTGTCTCCTAAACTGCTCAGAGCTTCTGATCATACTCCTCTGCCATTTCTCCTCAAATCAAACCATCATCAGTGAAGACCTGAATACCCTCTATGTGGTCACAGATGTGTTGCATTTCCCACGGAGCTCCAGTCTGTGCTATGCTGGGAAACTAAGGTTAAACTTGGGCTGAGTGTTTTGGAAAAGGGGTGCAAGCTTCCTCCTTCCCAAACAAGATGTCTATACTTGTAGCATGGGAAACAAGCGGAGCGGGGGAACAGTCACCCTAGCTGGTACAGTCCCTGGAAAACTGTAAAGCCCTTAATGCTATTGCCAGCAGCATTCATTTCTCTTTGGCCTCTCCCTTTTCAGAGATGGAAGGGAATAATGAACAGCTGCTAAGGGAGGGAACTGCCCTGTCAGGGTTCCTGGCAGCTTCTCAGAGAGAATGACTCTTTCATGTTGTCTCCAGAGCAGCTGGCTTAAGTCTGGAGTTCCCCACAGAGCCCAGAAATCCCTGGGCTTTCAAGGCCACGTCCATGCTCCTCTGTAATGCTCAGATGCTCATATTTTCCTTCAAACAGGGGGAGCATTCATTCTGTAATAGCTGAATTTCAAACCCCAAGTGGGTTAGTATATACCTTGACTAGAACTCAGAGTAGGAGAGAGATTGAATCATGGCTGCTTGACAAGTGGTTCTCCTACACAAAATGTATGGTTGACAGGAGCTTTATAGACAATCCAACTGTGAGAAACACAACGCTATAGATTCAGATCAACCGTTTTTTTTCTCAGCTTCATTAACACTTTTTGGAAACTGGCAGGATATGGGGTCTTGAATTTTGAGGCTACCTCCCACATTGTTCTGGATGTTGATTCATGCCAGGCAGAACAAGGAAACAGATTGCTATGCTGAACCCACTGCCAAGTGTAGACCCAGCCAGTGTGTAGATCACTCTTGTCATTTGAGGATGAAAAGCCCTGCAATGGGATCTTCTAAACAAATGAGTGTGGCTGAGCTGGTGCAGCAATCTGGAACCACCATGATCGTGGTTACTAGCTTCACAGCATAAGGAAGCTTTCTTCCTTTAAATGCTGCTGCAGCAGAGAGAAAGGAGCTGAAAGTGAGCAAGACAGAAAATATATAATGAATTCCAGAATTTAACAAAATGAAATGAAATGATAGCCTGGAAGGGGCATACATTTAGCATCCTGGTCGCTGTTCCTTATTTTTGTGACAGAAGTTTTATTGTTTTACCAGCACTGTTTGATTAAAATCTTTTCAGTTCCTTCATTAGTGTCATGTCAGTGGGGAGCGTATTTTTACAGCATGACCTAGCTCCAAGCCAGTATCTGCCACCACCTTGGACTGCATTGTACTGAAGGCATGAGCCAGCATCAGAACCAAATGTCTAGCTGACAGCCATTACACTGTGCTTCCACATCAGACGAGGGGTGAGGCTCCGCTGACAGAGGCATAAGGAAGTTTACATTAGATGGGCTACTGCTGAGTAGTGTTTTTCCACTTTCCCAGGGTGTCCCCCCGACACCATGCATAAGCACTAAACTCAGTTTAGAAAGTATGTTAAAAATACACTTAGGCCAACTCATTTGCACATAAGCAGCAGGCTGTCAGAGATTTCCTTCCGCTGCTCATCATTCTTAACAGGAGAATTACCGGTATGAACACCCAGCTATTGTACCCTGCTGACTAATTAGAATATAAATATGAAAAATGCAATGCAAGGCAGTGTGAGCTGCTTGGAGAAGATGCCTCTCACCAGTCTGGCTTCATCCAGCTGAGCCAATGCGTCTGCTCAAAAAGGTCACGGGAGGTTAAGGAGGGAACTAGCTGAAGGGGAGATCATGAAAGACAAGACCTCCCACCTCAAGTAAGGGGATAAGGTGAGAGCACTAGGGAGGCACGGTACATATTTGTTTCT